AAGATTTATCTTTATCTTAAAACAACTATATGTCTTACCTATTTCGGCAAATATTTGCAATAATTATGTTTATTCTATTGGTTGAATATTTTTATAGTATCTATAATTTCTATATATACATATATACAATATACTTAAATAATACATAGGTGATCTTATGTGTGGATAAAAAGAAAAAAGGTAGATGTGGGCTGTATTATTTGGTTTTTTCCATACTAAATATAAAATACGTATGATATATGGAGGCAATTGTATTTGTAACCCACCCGCAATAATTATCAGAGTGATTATGCGCACTCACTCATGTAAATAATATTGTTTTACCTTTATATACAAAAAAAAGTTGCTTGCTGAATTGTTTTATGTGTATCTATGAAAGATACCAACACTATTGATTTTAATTTTGGCGAAAATCCAACGTTAACAAATATTGATCGTGTAGTATAAAACGTTTGCTGTACATATTCATCGATTTGATGAAAAAAAGAGTAAAATCATTAAAGCATAACCTTGTAACAAGCAAATGAAAGTACACGTGTGGATTTTGTTCGCATATTATAATGAGAAAAAGAAAAAAAATCGTTTACCTTATGATGATTGAATCGATAACTCGACTTTCTTGGTTGATTTTGTGAAAAATATGTCTTTAAGGAACTAATCAATTTATGATATTGTTTTTAAGCAATATATTAAACTATGATATGATATAAAAATGTTGAATAAAAAGAGATCATGTGATATCTTTCATGAATATAATATTTTCGTATGTTAAGCATTTGTTTCTTCTTATTCTTTTCATGTTAAAAAAGTGTTAGTGGGTCTCTCTTAAGCTCTAAACTTCTTTTGTATTAGTGTCGAGACATAGAAATACCAATAACACACATAGATTCAACTCTTCAATACCTTCAAACGTTATTAGAATAGTTACGAATAAATTTTCAGAAGTTTGAGATCCACAGAATTCTTCATCAATTCCATTCATCTTTATGATGACGTAAAAGAAATTGTTGAAGATAAAATGTCTATAATAAAATATTTATCAAATTTAAAGATTAAGAATAAATCTGACTTGACTTCATTTAGTATACATTCGCACAGATCGTTCAGATTATAGCAAAGAAATGCATTTATTTCTAATAAAATATAAAAAAATAGTAATATCAACTGCGATATAATTCCATAATGGAAAGTAAATACATAATTTATTCAAAGCAATGTATTATGTTTGTTCTGTTCGAACTAGACGAAATGAACTCATACTGATTGAAAATTAAGAACTTTAAATAGATTCTCTCTTCTTGATGAAACTCTGTTATATAGGATGGATGGACTTTTATCCTCGATGAAAGAAACAAATCATTTCTATCAATAAAATATTAATAAATCTCGATGAATGTTTCATTTATTGCTTATTTAATTATGAGAGATGCATTAAAAACATATAGAATTTAACTGAATGATTTATTTCATTTGAATTATTTTTTGAAATTGTTCTTTGAAACATAATATTATAAATTGAAAACAATAAGAATATAATCGATCAATCATTAAAACATTCCTATTAACACATTGTCCCTTACATATACAAATCATCTCATCAATTCATAGTTATAGCAGAAGAAAATATTGAAGTATTTTTTATTTAAATGAATATTGTTCATTGACTTATGCTATAGATCATCACTTTTTCATTATTTACAAAAGCTAGGAATTCACATATTTAACAGTTATTTTCTTTTACATTCACGAAATAAAACAAATTACAATTTCTCACTTGTTATTTCGTATAAAATATGAAATATAATAGAAATTTTGAAACTACTCACAAAATACTGACTATTATTCCAATGTATTTTCTCTCCTACATCAATTGAAAGTTCAAGCAAAAGGATAGAAGAATATTTTCTATTAAATTGAGAAGTCTAATATCTTTCATTGAGAAACACGATATTCATTAAAGTTATTGATTATTTTGGGAGTACATCTCGTAATTTTTCTTATTTTTTATTGACTTTACTTTGTTGATGTACGGACACTTACTGATTTATAATTAACATTTACTCAATATATATATATATATATAAATGAATTGTTTTTTTCAATTATTTTTTCAATTGAAAGTAAAAATATTCTTCAAAAAATTCATTTTATTGATATAATTCTTGATATTTATACATCGACAAGGAGTCGTTTAATATCTTTTGTAAATCTATGTGGAATTTCAAATGAAATAAGACAATGGTGAATTATAAAAATAAGCTTTTACGATCAATTTAAATTTCATCGTTGATAGTTGATTTTTTGAACAGAAATTCCTATTATTAGACAAAAAGTATCTATATGTTTTGTGAGAGAAAAATTTCTCTAATAAAATAATTGAAACAATATTCACAAAAAAGTCAATTGAAACAATTTCATTCTTAGGAAATTAAAAATAGACCCTATGAAGCCAATATAAATTTTTATTTATAAATAATTAATATTTTTTTTTGAAAGACAATTAATATATATGTGCGAAGAGCGCACCAATTGTACCGTTGGGTCTTTAATAGGAAAATACTTATAACTCAGGTTCTGGTCATATATTTATCTGGGTATGTGTGTGCGTGAGGATGGGGGAGGGGGCAGATGCATCTTTTCTTTATTCATACCCAAACTCACATTCAAATCTAATCATATCAATGTCTTATTGTTCATTTGTATAAACTATTCTCATGGTTGACTCAATACTAGCTTCAGTGAATTAAAATACGAAGAATAGTTAATCTTGATTGAATTGTAAAAGTACTTACATCAATATATTGAATGATATTATCGTTGAATTGAATAATAATTAGAGCGAATTTGTAAACATTTTGTTGTTAGTTTAAATAGATATTATTTAATCTAAATTATACTCTATTTTTATTCTGAACATATCAACTAAAACTAATCGAATGATTCAAAATCCAATACAACATTTGTGTGAAAAATAAAAAGATAATTCAATATGTACTTTTTCTTAATATTTCATCCTACTCAACGTGATGAAATAAGTAGAGATTCATGATCATAAAGATAATTTATTAGTTAAGAAATAAAAATGAGATATAAGTATAAAGTAGAATAATATGATATTGTTAGTTGAGGATAAGAATAAAAAGTGTTTGTACTGTTCAGTTAAAATTTGTTTTCAGATGATAGGCATATTTGTTGTTTTCTTCTTTCGAAATACAACTCGCCAATATTCTGAACATCCTTGGCTCATATCGTCATAAATTTGAGTACCAGGTAATCCAGCAAACAGACGAAAATATTCTTGTTCTTCAGGTTGAATATAACGTTGAATGAAATCAGTACGATATTTATTTTGAATGTCAAGTGCATGAAGAATATTCCTTGTAATATTAACCTTTTCTTCAATAATTAATTCATCATTTTCAAATGGAAAATGGTTTGTTGCATTAGCTACTACGAAGGAAAGTCGAGGAATTTTCGAATAAAGTCGTTGACATAAGTTAATGATATCTTGAGAAGAATCTATTCCAGTGTAAGAGTGAGATGCATGAGTATGAACACACCATGCAGCACCAGCACCTCTAGCACAGTTAATTTCAAAGACATTCTTTATGTGGACCCATGCTTCGGGTACCCGGTCGGTTTGCAGGACTCTCATTTAATTCAACATTTTCTTTATTTTTCTTCTATGATATTATTCTACAATAAAATCGGAATTGCTCATAAATTCACTTTTAAAGAAAAACATTTCTCGATAGAAAAAATTAGTTTATAATGTGTCAAACATTCATCATACTTTTTCTTTGTTTCAGAGAGATTGTGTTCAAAAATAATTTTAAATTTTCTCACTTTCCTATAAAAGCATATATATATATATGTAATTTCTTTCATTATTAATATTATACGCCCTCTACAAATTACAAGAATTCTACTTACTTAAGAGTATAATTGTAATAAAAATCTCACGTTGTCTATGTATTAGAGATACTGTCAGTAAATAAGTAAATTTCCTTCACATATTTTAAAATATTTAGATTTTAATTAATAATTATTTTCAAAAATTCAACTCATATTCGAAAAAAAACTTATAAGTTTATCAACTTTTCAATAATTCAAATTTAAATAACTTAATTTAACTAAAACTTAAATATAATTATGTTCGCAAATGAAATGTAGCCAATATGAAATATGTAACATGAAACATGAAACATGTGTATATTTTGTTATGTTACTCTTCATATATATCTTGTATCTGTCCTTTGTATGGTTTTTTCATTCATCCTTCATATATTTCTTGTATCTGTCTTTGTATTGTTTTTTT